TGCTGGGAGGCAGTCCTCTGAAAAGAGACCTGATGTGACTAAGCCTGTGTGAGCTTGATCTGGTTTTATCAAGAAGACATCTAAAAGGTGAGATCTTGGCCTTTATGAAGTTCGTAGCAGAGCTCCCGTTGCCTGTGCTGGAAGTAGTGTTTCGTTACATATGCAGAAATTGCAGTACATGCCACTAAAGGGTTGTCTCTCTGCAGATGTGCGAGTAGTGCTTGGAGGTGCTGCGTAACAGTTTAAGTAATGGAATGGCGTGATGGATTCACGTAGAAATAGTCCCAGTAAAAACAGCTGGATGAGTATACCTGGACTGGTTTTGCTATTAGACCAATATATTCAGACTAAATCCTCCTGCCCCTCTGACTTTTGAAATTTTATGGAGGAACTTGAAATTCCATCGCATTCTTATCAAAATGCTTAAAAGCCATAAAGCATTCCTATTTATACCAGGCTCTGTAAGTGTTTATTCTCTTTTTCTTTTGTTTTTTTCTTTTGTAATATAAAACCTAAATTATGTTGGTGAAGATTATAGGTACTTCCCTGTGAAGAAATTGATACTTTATAGTGAGGGAGCAGTAATGCAAAGGTCAAGTAAGGTCTTTTCAGTTTTTTCCATAGAGATGTTATTTAGAGGGGGTCTTCCTATGTTGATGTCTTATTTATCTCAAGCCAGACCAAACGACTTGCTGCTTTTTCTTCAGGCCTGCCAGGCTTTCTTGTGCTGTTCTGTGCTCAAATCCCAATACCAGGAGCGTTTGAGGAGAATGCTTGGTGGCTCTCGGCGAGGCAGCCTAGTCCTTGCTGAAGGTGGACTTGGTTTGGCCGGGAGAGTTGTTAGAACAGTCATCAGTCTTCGGGTGTTCTGGTGGCCTCTTGCTATAACTGCCCCATGATCTAATATAATGGGTATGCATATTATTTGCACCCCTCCGGGTGACATTGTTCTTGTTTTTAGTTAAAAGAAGGAAGTTTTTCTTGTTTGCCCAGTGACTCTGTCCTTCTGGCATGAAGATGAGTAATGTTGGCACTGCTCCATGCACCTGCTCGGTGCCACCCTCCGAGATCACCTGAGCCGCAGTCAGCAGATCTAGGCAAGCAGGGATGGGATGGTTGAATGAAAGCTGGGGAAGTGTTTATGGTTGGGAGTCTGAAACCCACTTTTGGTTAGGAGCAGGTGCTAAAATGCTATCACTGCTCTGGGATTCGTTGTGTGCCGCCTTGCCGGTTTGGGTGTTGGCGCCAGATATTGGGAACCTTTATTCTCAAGGACTATCCTAGTGTGTATTCTCTCCCCTCCTCCTCCTTGGGTAGGGCTGAAATGAAATGAAGAGCATTCAGTGATAACCTGCACTATTCATTAAATAATTCTGGACCTCACCCTTGTGAGTCTGGTGCTCCTAGCCACATCAAAGTGAGTGTGTGTGCAGAATAGCCATGTTTCCAGTGGTCTTACAGACACTCACGTTAAGCGAATTTTGCAGGGTCTGGCAATCAGCCTGCTGGGTTTTGCGTAGGCCGTGTAGCAAAGGCATATTTCTATTAAACAGCAGGTGACTCAGCATGTGAGCTGGTCTCTGCGATTGCCCGGGGACTTCACAGCCAGTCCTTTCTATACTATCTCTGTTTTGTGTTCCCCTCCTCTATTACAGTGTGCAGGTATGTCTGAAGATAACTCTGCACCTAAAAAAACAACCCAAGACTTCATCTAACTGATAGCATCCCATCACCTGCTGCCAACCAAGATAAGCAGGATCACATGCACATCTTTTAAGAAAAACACAGAATTACTTAAAAAAATTTCCTGCTTGAGTTTGAAGACTGGCACTGGATTGGTTTGTATATGAGTGACACAAAATTTAGTAGTAAAACTGAAAGTGCTTAACTGTACTCCAGCCCTTTTGAGGTAGTGAACCTGTTCCCATCCCACCTGATGCGTAAGCTAATTAGCTTCTTGGCTAAGCAGTAATTCTGGGCAAGTATGTACAGGCTGTCCTCACAGGGACTCTTGCATTCCTCTTAGTTTCACAAGCTAAAGAAAGATGCTTCTCTTCGCTTGTGAGGTTATTATTGCTCCATGCGGGTTAATTGAGCTATAGCATTATAGCCACTCATCAAACAGTGGTGAGTAGCTCACTTGTCTAAGCTTGTTTATTTTTATAATGCTGAAAAATATTTGCATGCTGCACAGAAATGTGCTGCTTTGGTTCCTTCCAGCCTGGCAGTATTATCATTTTAAATTCTTCATTAATCTTTCTTCCTCACGAGGGACTGGCAAAGCTCCTGTGCATAATTACATGATGTTTAAGACAGAAGCCTCAGCTACTGTGTTTTTACACAATGCCCTGCAAACATGGGTCTTCTCTTTCTTAAATAGTACCTACACTACCTCCCTTTTTATGCCCATTCTTGATCTCAGCATGGTTATGTGCAACACTATTTGCAACTCCTGTGTTAGTTCTACCAGTTCTAGACTCTGATGTTTTGCTCGAGAACATACAACTACAAAGTTGCCATGGATAATTTCAGACTAGCAGTTAGGGTAAGGTAGTAAGATTGTAGAGCTATGATGCTGAGGAACAAGTAGCAAAATTGGTTCAGCCTGGGAAATCTACCTCACAGTGGTTCCTTGGAACAGAATTGGTCTAAAACTGAATTTTCCACTTGAAAAGCAAGGTGTTTCTAGGCTTTGTGGTTATGAAGAGTGCACCATCCAATCCATAAGCCAGTACAGTTTTGCAGAGTTGTTGGTAGTCTGAATTCAGCCATATCCATCCTAATAGATTGAGGCTAAACCCCCAAATGTGTCCGTTTAAAATGTCTACAGAACCTATTCCAATTTCCTTCCAGCTCTATCATGACAACTTTTCCAGTGCACCTCACTAATTTCCATCTTTGGCACACTGAAAACTGAAATTGCTGGAAGAGCCTAACACAGATAGAATTTGGTGTCCAAATAAGTAACACATGGGCTTCAGTACCAATGTATTGTTCATTTTTTTGTTTCATTACATAAAAAAGTTAACTCACTGGCTCTGCCATGAGTTTCCAGCTTGCTCAGAAAGCAGATTCCAGGAATGCTGCCACCCAAGTTAGTTGCACAATATTTTCTTTGTTAATTAAAAATAATGGGATAAAACTGGAAAAAATAGGCTTAATGCTGACAGTTGGTATTTAAAGTGGATTTGTTGGCCAGAATATCTTCATATTGTATCTCAGTCCACCTTTTGTTTTGGATTTCCAGGCTGATTCCTAGTTTACATCCACACTAAAATTAGTAGTACTCAGTTCCAGCAAATACTTTCGGTGTGAACTGTGCCCTCCCTTCATCGGATCAGCGGAATAAGCTTGTGTTGCTGTGAAGTGAAACTCTGTGTGTGAAATGGTTGCATACAGAATTACTTCCTTGAACGTTTGAAGGAGTTAAACATGCACAGATTGGATTTGTCTGTTGAGAAAATCTTTAAGGCAGAGAGGCAGAATGTCAAGCTGGGTTGTATCTTTGTATTAAAAAAATAAACACCACTACCCCCCCCTTAGATTTTTCCAGTTGAGACAAAAGAAATCTTTGGGTGGAAAGGCAGCATCGTATTGCATAATAAAAGCCTTTTTATGCTCTAATAGAAAGGGTTGCTTAGGGCAACTTTGTTTAAAAAAAAAAAAAAAAAAAAAAAAAAAAAAGAAGAAAAGTCAGTGATGATACTGGTATGAGAGGGACAAGGAATCCCTAACTTCTGTTGTGCAACACTGGGAAAAGAGGCTAGAAATTGCTCTGGTTATCTGCTATCTTAATGCCTGGTTTAAAGGTTCTTTACTGCATATTTGCTGGCAGCTGTTTTCAATATATCCCTCTCAAGCTAAGTCACCAGTTAAGAATTTGACATTAGATGTTTTTTTCAACCACCATCTTGAAGTACCATACCACACAACACAGCCTTGTTCCCTAGTTAGATATTGTTCATGTGCCTTGAAATTGCTGTTGACACCTCAAGTATTTAACTTGCAGATCGGAGATAATTTTTGTTGGGTGTGGATATGTGCCATAATAAGACAGAGACAGAAGTATCCACGTCTGCATTCCTTCACTACATCTGTTCACTGTATTTTTTGCAACAATCCAGGAAATGAGGTTAAATTATACATCTCAGTATTTTTAATTTCACTAGTTCTGTTTTAATTGCCTGCCCTTAAAGTATAAGCACACTGAATGCACAAGTATGCTCCGTTCCTTTTGTGTCGTTTGCCTTTTTCTTTAGGACACCTTCAGCAGTAGATTTAACTGCTTCTTGAGTAACACACCTAAATACACATTTTTCTACGTTCTCCTGATTCTCCCCTCAATGGTTAAAGTTTCTTTAGTGCTTTATATTCTGAAAGGGAAAAGTAATGCAATTAAAGAATGTTTTGGGAATTGGAGCTCTGCTCTGCAATATATTTCTGGCATATACTTTGTCAGTGTCCTTTTCTTCCGCTCACTTTCCCAGTCTGTAAAATAAAGCTAATATTCGTATACTGATCATTCTCACAGTCATTTCTGAGGCATAATTTGTTGACGTTTGTAAAGCATTTAACCATACCGCCTTTCATCAAAGGATTTCTGCTGATACAGTTTGAAATATACAGCACCACTGGAAAAGGAGCCATAAGCACAGGGTATGATCATCTGTGCTGCAGCTTTCATTCTTAGCAAAAAATAAAACAATGGAGTTAAAGAATTAGCAGGTTTTAATCACTGTTTCACTTGGAGGCACAGATGGGACGGAGCATTACTTGGCAACATTTAATCTTGGAGCAGAAATTGTCATGATTAAAGCAGCAGCTGGAGTAGATTGCTAGGGACAGGGGGGTTCATTCATCCTAAAGGGATCAGAATTGTTGGGCTCTGGGAGAAAACAAGAAGCTACAAAAGAAAAATCTGAAATAAGGGCCAAGGTTTATTATTTCTAGGGTCTTATCTGCTGATTAAAATGGTGTTTTCAATGCTTTCCTCAGAATTATTTTGGAAGCGAGGAGAGTATCAAGTGATCTGGCCTACTGAAGAGGAGACTGAAGCCGTCTCTGAGTGGAGATTTTGGACTTGCAGGAGGAAGGCTCTGTGTGTCCCCTCCATGTGGCAGAACTGCTCCTCCTTACCAAGGAAGTCAAAGTGAAGGAAATAGGTATGTGCCACTTCAAATAGGATTTCAGAAGAATTACGTGTTCCAGGCCAGTTAACAGGGCCTGAACTCCTAGTTTGGTGAGGTAGCGTGGAATAAGGTGGATTTTAACCTCCTCTTCATTAACGTTTGCAGAAGGGTTCTGTCTGCCTGATGCGTCGAGGCCTTGTGTTATGGGGGTAGACTCCTGCCGTAGGCTGGCCTGAAGGAAGAAACTGGGTGGTTGTGGAGATGCAGAACAAAGCAGACCCTTCAGGTCTCCTGACTGCTGCAGTCCATCCTTGGTTCTGCCACGGAACAAACTGTTGGGAGCAAGTTACCTTTTGCTAAGGGACAATGTTATACAGAAAAAAGGTGTCAAAGTGCTAGAATACCAACGTGCCTTCTGCTGTCAGGGCAGAGCCACAGCTTAGCCAACAAGTAAAGCATACTCTATTCTGAACTGTTCTAGCTCAAAAGTAGCTCTGCTTTTAGTTAAATGTCTCAAAGGTATCATTAATTTCGGATGTTTCAACTCACGCAAGGCCAATGGGCTTGGGTTTCCACGACAAATTCCTGACTCCACTGAAGACTGAGCAAAGTCAAATCACCGTTGACCACTGACTTAATCTGTACTTAGGATGTGCTTGACATTGGCTCTGTGTTTCTCTCATTGGTACACAGTGTTTTTTCCTGCCACTCAGAGGTCTTTTTCTGTTCCTTAGATCAGACAACTCTTTTTTCCCTCCTCTTGCATTTGCATGCATTCAGCTGACGACATTTAGATGTGTGAGGATTTGGTTGCCTTTGTATAGCAGGAAGTATAGCAGGAGTCCTCACTTGCACCAGTACGTTGTGTTTTCTGCAGCAGGGAAACTAGGTGCTGATGTCACTCTGGGTATTTCATAACTCTGAAAACCTGCTGGCTAACAAGTTACTCATTAGTTGCTTTAAACTATCTAAGCTAAGAGATTTCTTTGCTTCCTTTCAACCACATACTATCTCAGTGTCTCAGTGGGCCTCTCTCTCTTTTTTTTTTTTTTTTTTTTTTTTTTTTCTTCCCTTAAAACTGACAAATTGCTCATTCCACCCTTTAATCCTTGTCTGCCTGGAAATACGGGAAGTGTATTTCACTGTTGGTAGCCCTAAGTGTAAAGCAAAACAGGTCTTAGGCATTTTTACCATCATCCTGTGAATTATAGGTCTCCTTTCTGCCTGAAAGCAGCCTTGCTGTCTGAGGTATTCGGCATGCATCCCTACAGCTTGCAGTCGATTGATATTCCTATAAACTTGCAAGTCACCTTTCATCACCTTTCAAGGCTTTGCCCCCTGGCATGCACGTCCTTCTTAGGTCAAGGGCCTTAATGACCCTCATTGTTACAGGAACCTTTGGTAATCTAACCTGCTTTTTCTCTGTATTTCAAGCCATTGCTCTTAAATGTCTCTTGCTTGATCCACTCAGGCGCTAATAACCGTGTCTCCTTTCCTTAGGTCAAGGGCAGCTTTTACATTCCACCCAAAAGGCACCACAGTTTGAGATGAGGAATTCAGAAGAGCAAGCAGCTACGACAGTTTTACAGCGCCTGCTGCAGGAGCAGCTCAGATACGGAAACCCAAATGACAACCGTAACCTTCTTGCCTTACACCAGCAAGCCACAGGAAATGCCCCCCCTTTCAACAGCACTGGGAGTCCAGCATCTCAGAACGAAGGGCTGAGCTCCCAGGACCACCAGCTTGTGACTCATGCTGCCCGTCAGGAGCCCCAGGGCCAGGAGATACAGGTGGACAACAGCATCATGGAGAAGCAGCTCTCCCCGCGACTTCAGAACAGCGAGGACCTCCCAACCTATGAGGAAGCCAAAGTCCAGTCACAGTATTTCAGGGGCCAGCCGCATGCTAGTGTCGGGGCAGCGTTTTATGTAACAGGGGTCACCAACCAAAAGATGAGGACTGAAGGGCGGCCCACGGTTCAGCGGGTGAGCCCAGGGAAGGTCCACCAGGATGAAGGACTTAAGGACCTCAAGCAAGGGCACGTCCGCTCCTTGAGCGAGAGGCTGATGCAGCTCTCCTTGGCTACCAGCGGTGTCAAAGCCCACGCGCCTGTCACGAGCGCGCCGCTCTCCCCCCTCTCTCCGCTTTCTCCTCAGCAGTCCAGCGACCCTTATAAAAATTCTGGCTCCAATGAGTTCTACAAGAACTCAGTGCAGCCCCCTTCCCAGCCCAACATGAAAGGAATGGAGCAGCGGGGTCCTCCTCCGGAGTATCCTTACAAAAATGTCTCCACCCCGTCTATGAACTGCAAACCTCAGGACTCGGGACATTTCTATAGTGATCATCGCATGAGCCAGCAGGGAAGAACTGATGGGCCTATGATGAGGTATCAGCATCCCCCCGAGTATGGGTCAGTCAGGTAAGCAAGATCTTAGAACAAACTCCGTGGCAGCCATGTAAGGGAAGGCGGTATAAAACTCAGTCCGTTGCCCTTGCTCCTGCGGCAGGTTTTCTTTCAGCAAAGATCCCAACTTTATTATGTGAGAAGACTTACTGTGTTCAGCTACAGACTGTGTCTGGAAGGACTGTAACCCATTTCAGTAGCTTACCTAAAGAGGCCTGACCCTTTTAAAAAAAAAAACCACAAACAAAAAAAACCCCAAAACAAGCCAGCTTGATTTTATGGCATGGGGAAGTTTAATGCTGAGGCTTCGGAGCCGTACAAAAGGTTTGCTGCAGAAGCCAAAGTTATGGTGTGATTCATTGTAGAAACTTGCAGTTGCTTATTGCAAGGCTTAAGCTGTTCTTTAATTACATCTGCCCAGACAAAAGATTTTTTTTAGGTTTAAACTGCATCTAAATGCTACGTAGGAAGGGAGAAAGTGAATGAAAGCAATAATGGTGCAGGTAACAAAAATCACCTGAGCTTCCTTTAGAGTTTTTCAGATTTTATTTTCTGTGGACCAAAGTGTAGGAGTGGAAAATGGAGCATGCTTTGTGCCTCATCCCAGACTTGCTTGTTTAGCTTCGCTCATTTTCCTTGCATCATTTGAAATCTCAGCCTGTTCTGGTTCCCTCTAGATAAGGAGCTAGATTTGGCTTGAGCCAAACACGGATGTCCGTGTGGGATGAAGTTTATACAGGTGGGCTGAAAATACGGCTTTGCTTTACCTGGTTCCTTACCATCTCATCTCTGTCCAAGACCAGGTGGGCTTTGGTGTGATGATTTTGGCCTCATTTTGAAGCTAAAAGAGTAATACAAAGGAGCAACAGAAGGGCGTTGCTACATAAGTAAATGGTGAGGTCTCTGTGTGTTTGTGTTTGCACATAGTGTGTTGTGTTTTGAGGGGGGCATGAAGAAGAAACCAGCCTGTACGTGGGAACAGGGTCTGAGCTTTGGGGAATTTGTATCTGCTCAGAACCTTCCTAGTCCTATGGGGAGCTATTTTCAGAGTTTGTCCACCATTGTTTGTGATCTGAAATGACTTCAGCAGCATACAAGCCTGATGAAAAGGCCCTTTGATCTGGCTAAATAAATAATAAAGAGGCCAGGAAAAGGGGAAGTAAAGGGTTTAGGGGGGGGTAATGATTGTAGAAGCTCGTTGCAAACGTTTTTGAAAATTCAAAGGCCTCAAATCTCTGTGCACACAGGAAAGGGAAGCAGATCCTTAATGGTTATGCTGCATCAGAAATACTCATAATATCATATATAGTGAATCTGTGATGTAGCCTGCTTGCTGTTTAAGGGAGAGGTATTTGAAAACACGCCAACAGTCAGCTCCTCTAGACAGGGTGATTTTTGTCTGTATTGGATGGATCCTGGCTGCTTTGAAAGAACATGGGGGGGGAAAGGGGGGGAGGAGAAAGGTTCAGCTGGCAAGGTTTCCAGTAGGGGAAGCAACTGAAATTTGTCTTCAAAGCACTGGGAATCTAATGAGGTTACTTTTTAACCTAAATAGCTGCACAGAGAAGAGGTTTCCTTTGCAAGCAAATGCTGTAGCAGTAGAACAATTGCAAGACTAATCCATAAATTACAGAGCAGCGTGGCAAAGGAAGGGAGCGAGTCCTCTATTCCCCTCCCTCTCCCACACACTTATTTAAGAGAAACTGTCATTTAGACAAGAAACCTTCTGTGTTACTAAAGGTGCAGCTGGGTAATAGTGTGAGGATTTTAAAGGCATACAACTTTTGAGAGTGCGTTTGCCTCACACCAGGCAGTGCTAACGAGCGTCTTTGCAGCCTCGCTGGAGTGATAAAGTATTTTCAGAGACTCCAGTTTTCCTGCGCTGCAGCTCTTGTGTTTATCAGGATTAATTTGGATTGGTAAAATGTGTGCATTTTTTGAACCGTGCGTCAAGGAAACAAAGCCCCTTCTTTCTGCTCATGAAGCCACACCCTTTTCTGCGGGTTTTTCCCCTCATTGTTCGGGGGAATTTGAGGGTGACCTAACGATGCGGTTAAATAAAACTCGTTGAGCAAGATAAACATTGGGGAATTCACAGCATTCTCATGCTTCACCCTCCCCAGTCTGGGAAAGGAATGGGCCGTGTGGTAAGTTTAAACCAGTCTGCAAACAGTTTGCCTCACCTGCTCTTGGGCGGTGTAAGTTTGGGAACATGTATATGTTCGTAATGATGTTGGTTTAATGTAAATACTGGGCATGCTGGAGGCATCTGTGCTGTTATTTGGAAATTTTAAAGAAAGTTCAGAAGAGGGCTGGCTCCATGTGTGAAGCTCCAAAATTCTGTTCTCTCCTTAATATCTCAAGTGCACTGTAGCATCGGTGATGAAAACAAACCTTCAGGTCTAAGAGGAGAAGATGGGTGCCTTGGGCTCGGCGTCCTGCGGGGTTGCAAGGTCCCCTGTGGCAGAAGAGCGAGAGAGAGGGGAGAAGGGGCTCCTCGATGCAGTTTTGGGTGCAGAGGAGGCTGGCTGTCTCTCTGATTCAAGCGCCATCCTCTGTTCGGAGCCCAAATGACTGAGCTCCTGCTGGGGTGATTAATCCCATTGGCTTCACAGAAACTTTTTGAGAAGGAGGTCTGCAGAATTTGTCCCATAATTAGTAAATCACTTCTGTGCACTGCGTTCCCCTGAGCAGCATCAAAGTGGGGGATAATCAGGTATGACTAGGAAGCAGAACAAAAATGCATCGGTTTGATTTCAGCTGTCTAATCAAGTGGAGCCTGCTCCCTCCTGCAGTCAGCGTTTTCCGGTTTGTGCAGGAGGGCTGTGGAAGAGAGGGGAACTGTAGCTTCTTGGAACATGAAACGGGCAGGAGAAGCTGGGAAGGCAGGAAAAATTTTAACGAGCCAGAGACCTTTCCTGATCTTTTCATTCTTCTGCCCTCCCCACTTTGTTGCTCTACCAGCAGATCTTCTGCGTGACTTGATGTTTGCAATCCTGGCAGCCTCAGGACTCCTGATGGCTAGGTTTGCTCGCCGGGCTGCCCTTACTCCATATCTCTGTCTTCATTACTTAAAAGCTAATGTGACCCTTGTAGTTGCAGAACCATAAATCCAGCCTTGTACTTGGCGCACATGGTGTGTTTCTCCGATACGCGCCAGGGATTGTAAGGGAAGCAGAGATTCTTGCATGATACGGTCTTCAAAATGAAGTGGCCCTTAAAGTTATGCTTTCAAACTTAAACACTTGTGGGAATTATTGCTCTGAGTTTTTTTCCAGCGGTCGGGGTTTTCAGGTCTTTATGACCTGAGGGAAATGAAAGGAGATTGCGTAATTTTGTTTCCCGTGTATTTTGAGAGTCTTTCTGCATTTTTGCACGAAGTGGTTAGTTTGGATATAAATCTTAATTACTACTGCAGGGTTACCCGAGGACTGATTCTTTCATGGAGGGAAATTTCTACTACCATTCTATCAGCAATTCTGTTAGGTGACCCCAGTAGTGATTTGTACTTTAAAATTTTGCAGCATGGCTTAAAAATCTTGAACAGTCCAGTTGTGTTCATTTACCTTTCTGAATCTCTCGGTCCAAAATTGGTGTACCAGAGAAATAAATGCCTCAATTCTCATGTTAATCTGAGGGATCTCAGAGCCAGGTATTTTGAACCCACAAAATATATATAAGCGTTTTAGAAGACAAAATCGAAAGTAGTGGGGATGATAAAAAGTTCTTTGAATGTGTATGTAAAAGTTTGCATACAAGATGTTAAAAAGGTCTAGTTGTCACTGTGAGGCTCCTAGGATTTTTTCTGAAAGATTGGATGTATTATCCCAGTTGCATTATCTTGTTTTGCTGGGAATATAAACACATTTGTGACATTTTGGAAGCTCTAGTGCTGTTGGTAATGTAACAGAACTAGAGGCTCCCAGCTCTCGTGTTGTAGCTTGAACCCACAAGACTGGTGTAATTTCAACATGTGAGAGGCTTCGGATGTGAGTGCCAAGATGCTGGAAATCTTGGAAATGTATCTTGTTTAGAAATACTCAGCCATGATTTCCTAGAGTTGTTCTTTACAATAGGTTTAAAAAAAAAAATGTCATTACCAGGCATGTCAATACAAAGACTGTCCCCTCAGAATTTAGCTGCCGCTGTTGTTTTTCTTTGGCCATCTTTGTGTTCCTTTCATTAGTGCTCAGGTCCTGCGGAAATGGCGAGATTCTGCCCATGCGTCTCTGATGGCAGAGTAACGAGATGCTTTTAGTCAAATAGCTCAAATTGTTCACGTTGGCATCTAAATAGCCCTCATTAGGCTTGTAATATTAACACACTGAGATCAGCGGAGTCAGTCTCTCTGCGGAACTGCTTCAGGTTTTTTGCAGACTGGAGGAGAGTATTTTGTAGGTTCAAAATTGGAAAGGTGGTTTTTTCATCCGTGAGGCAGACTGGCAACGTATCTCTTTTGATCTAACCTCTGTAGGTCATCATGGATTAAATGTCACAGCAAGGTTATTCCCTAATTGATTATAACATCAAAAGAGAGGTGCGTGACGTTAGGTAAAGAATAAGGTCAAGGAGACGAGTGGTTTCTGAAGATGCAAAGTTTTAACTCTGTGCATAACTGGGTGAGCTAAGAAAGGAGCTGGAAACTACCCGAGACAAACCAGATGACCTTGAGCATGGCACGTGACGGTTTTGCCTCATTCCTCATATGAGAACTGGCAAATAAAGGTAATGAAGTAAATGCAACGATAAGTAGAGCTGACCTCCCAGGAGGGAAGGAACCAAATTGCTGCTACTAATCTGAACATTCCGGGGGAAATTAATTGCACATCTCTCTTCTGCATGACCCCTGAGATCCTCATGCTGCATATGATCGTGTCTGGGGAAATACAGCTCCTGAAATGACGTTGCTGACGGGGACCACAGTCACCTGTGTGTGAGAAAGAGAGAAGCAGTAACTAGAGCAATAATTATTTGTTTTTCCCTAAGTGACAAAGGCTAGATTTGTTTCCCTGTTATGGAATTTGAGCATCAGCTTGGAGGTTTCTATGCACCTTCTCTGCTGGAAAGCAGGGAAAATGAGGCATAAGATGCATGATATTGAAATAGGGAACCCTGCACTGGGCAGAGAACGTACGAACTCCTACATGCGCTGCCAGCCAGATGTGAGTAATGCAGACGTTTCCTCTTTGGACGGGTATGAAGAGTTGATGCGTTCTTTCTGCAGAGAACAGGAAGGATGATGCTGAGTGTTTGCACATCGGCTGAGAAGCCCGTTGGGTAACCCTTTAGTTCCCAGTTCGGCTTCGTGCTTGCTGTTGTCAGTTGACATGCCACTAATGCTCCTGGTGTGGTGGGAGAGCTGTGCTGCGGGCTGTCTTGTACGTCCAGTACCCCTACTGCGCTCAGCAGAGCAAGCGCGTGGGGTCCTTCCTGTGAACACAGACAACTGTGGGGGTATTCTGTAGCAGCTGTGGCCAGGTGGAACAACAGTATGTGATTTTCCATCTGCAGGGTTGAACTGCATCCCAAAGGGTGGGAAATTTTATCAGAAGGACCAGGAGTGTTTCAGAACGTGTTGAACTGCCAGACTGGGTCTGCACCAGGCTGAGGTCTGTGCTTAAAAAGAGACTGGCTGCAGCATGGAGAGAGAGTGACTTCAACTGTTAGAATAAAGAACATCCAGAGAAGTTAAAGGTTGAATGTCTTTGGAGGAGGAAGCAAAACCTGCCTCCTGAGGTCATCCAAGCACGATAAATCCACACAATCTTCTAAGAGAGGTTTCTTACTTGGCTAATACAGCAGAAGTTAAGCTGGGGATCTCCAGCGCCTGGGAAATGTGAGCTGGTGTAGCTTGGAGTTAGTTCTGTGATAGACTCAAGCACATTATAGATTGCTAGATCTGTCTTTGATATCCTATAGAGGTTATTGTTAGGAGCAGTAAACGTGCCCCCTGCATAGGGCTGAGGGTGGTTCTGAATCAAAAGGCTGCTTTTCAGATCCTTTAACTGTCTCATTTGACCAGGCTGCAGCTTGTCGGTTGATATTTCAGAAAGCTCGGATCAGTGGTGCTGGCATACTAACATAGAGCTTAGCCAATCTCTTTAACTTTGTATCCTGAATTGCAGAAGAAAATTCATTGTTTTCTTCATGAGAGATGGCACATTTCAGGACAGAACAAAAGAGCCCATTCCTAACAGGCCTCAGTTTAGCTGTTTTATCCACAAAGTGTGGAGAAAAGTTATAAAAATAATTTTGGTCAGTAGTCATTGATGGAGTTTCTCTTACTGTTTCTGTACAAACTAGACTCAAGAGGAAAGACCTGCATGCACTTAGAATGTATTTTCTGACAGTGATTTGACTTTGAAGCATTATTTTAAAACAAACTTACAAAAATGAGGAAAACCTCACCTATGAGTCTTTTGCGTGGGAAGATCTGTGCGTAGGAGCTACGCGGGTCATCCCACGCCTTGTCGCTGGGCTTGTGCACCATCTTCTGCATGACTTTGATAGAGCTTCTGCTCTCTGTTTTCCAGGCAGAACCCAGATGTGCAGCTGCAGTTACAACAGAGACCACCTCACCACCACAGCCCAACTTCTTCCTTGACGTCCCTGGGATCTTTGACTTTGCTTCAGTCTCCACCACCGTCCAGGCTGTCCCCTTCCCAGCATCAGCAACCTCTGACTCCAAGCCAGGGAGATCCTGGCATTCTGCCACGGACCCAGCAGCCGTTCTTGTCAAACCAAGTCCATCAGGGAGATTTGTACCGACTATGTCAGCCCTTCCTAGGCCCGCAGCAGCAGCAGCAAGGCGATTCCTATTCAGTAATGTCCCGGGCTCAGCAGATACCTTCCCCATATCAGCAGATGCAAGTAGATCCTTTTGCCATAGTTTCCAGGGCCCAGCAGATGGTGGAAATCCTGTCAGAAGAGAACCGGTCTCTACGACAGGAGCTGGATGGGTGTTACGAGAAGGTAGCCCGGCTGCAGAAGGTGGGTGGTTTTTGGTTATCAGGCACTCTCCTGTGTCTAGTATTGTCCCTAATTGAATCATCTCATCTGCAACTGTTACATTCCTTGCTTAAGGGATTGATTATCTACTTCAGAGTCTTTTACATGCAGATTGATTAGTCTGTATCCTGTCCCTTTGGGCAGCAGCTTAACTTTGTCAGAAGATAGAATCCTGCCTTTGGTTTTATTCTAACAGCTAATTGGCCGTGCTCAAAAGAGCATCCTCATCAGCTCTCTTGAAGAGGCTGACTGCTTGGCTTGCTTGGTTAAATTAAAGCTAGAGTTCTTATGTCCAGGATAGAAACAGGCTTCATTTTCCCATCAGTCTGAAAGACTTTTAGAGACTGCAGGAAGGGCCCGTTTGGAATGATGTGAGACCATAGTCACTCAAGGAGACAACAACAGGGGACCTTGCTACAAAACTGGTTGGCGGGACAGTGTGCCAGACAAGTACTGCTGCTATGGCTACATGAAAGACATTTGGACTGCAGGACTGAGACTAACACCTCTTTTGTCACCCCCTCAATACCACACAACTTCCATGAAAACTTAGTATCTTGTTTTGAATCGAGATATTTGGCACCTTTGGCTTTATGAAACAAGTTGAGTAAACGATACTAAAACATTTTAGAAAAAATATCCCAGTGAGAGCCATCATTAACGTGCATGTGTAGAGGTATTTTCATTGCAGCCTCATAGAAATAACTTCTGATGGCCAGTGGTTTAAAGCTGTGCAGCAGGTCAGCTTTGCTTTTGCCTTGCAGCTGTGAAAAGGCTGAGGCACTTGCAGTTTAGGACTTTGTGGGCCTTGCCGTGCTCTTTGCATTGAGCAGTCTCCAGGGCCATAAAAATGTGTGGCTGCTTAAAACACTTGTCGGAGTTCAGGTGACCAGTGTGGCTTTCCACACTCGTGTATTCCCTATGTTACCTCTTTCCAGGGACATACGTTCGTTTTGTTGTATTTTTTTTGGAAGGTTACTGGCCAGGAAATGCTTTAGAGAAGTGTTTGACGGCTTCCTGGTAATGAAAGAAGGATAAAAATGTACTTCCCTCCACCCCCCTGTTGATCGCTTGCCATAGACACTGCAGATGGGGTTTGCTATTATGTGGATCCATACTTCCGTAGCAATGCAAAACTCTGCCTGGTAAGGAGAGTTAGAAGTGAATCTCCTTCTGCTCTGGGTGATCACAGAAGCTTTACACTGAAGGTTAGAAGGAAGGATAAAACGTATTTTACTGCAAACGTTTCCCTCCCCCCGTTTAGTAAATTGAGCATTTAAAAGCACAACTAAGTTGTTGAAGTGGAAGCATAGAACATCAGGAGGTTTTATTGTGAATTTTGGATCACAACAATTACAGGTCTGCAGAGTTCAACAGTAATGCAAGATCTGCCGCTAGCATTTTTTTAGCATAGTTTTGTCTGCCTTTCTTGATTTATTTTACTTACTCAACTTGATATCGCATGAGCTATTTCTGTAAATGCGTTTTGCACAAACTAACAGTAGTGCCAACCTGCCCCAGTCTTTGAAGAAGTGCAAATGTCATCTATTTTTTTCTATTTGCTCTATCTATGCTCTGGTCGTATTGGGGAAACAGAGCCAGAGTCTGGAAGGAGAGTCCAGATCTTCGTTTCAATCACTGGTATTCTTTATACGGAAGGATCCATCACAAACCTGGGACACTTGTTTTACTTAATGTATACGTGTAGGTTTCTTTCCATAAAGAAAACTTGAGAGAAAGTAATCTCCTTTCTGAGACTGAATGAAAAGAATTGTTAGTGATAAAATAGTAAGTGCTTGTTTTCACTTCCACTGCAGCTGGAAACAGAAATTCAGCAAGTTTCAGAGGCTTACAAAAACCTGGAGAAATCATCCTCTAAGCGGGATGCCCTGGAAAAGGCCATGAGAAACAAGCTGGAAGGAGAAATTCGTAGGCTTCATGATTTCAACAGGGATCTAAGAGGTGAATGAAGTAAAACTTCTTCAATTTTTTTTTTTTTTTTTTTTTTATTGTTGTACTTTCTTGGCAGGACAGTGTTTTGCTGCAGAATTCTCTGTGTCTCTTGACACAACTAGAATGTGACAGGATATTCGGGTATATTCAGTAGTCTGAGATCTTAAGCGCTTGCTGGGAGTATGGAAAAGACAGGTTTAGGAGGGTGCTGTAGTCTCTCATTTCCAGCCTGTTTCTCATTGAGAAGAAACATGTGATAAGCCAAATACCATAAACCAGATGCAAGCCTGGAATTCTCTCTTGTCTTATATCCTAGACACAATTTGTACAATTTGTTCAGTTTATACAAATGGAAAGACGTTTTGCTGACTGCCTAATCCCACACCAGGCATGTTCACTTTATTTCCTGTCCAGTGACCCTTTTGCACTGACATACAAACTGCAGACTGTCTGTTCTTCCTGAAGGTCTTGTCATTCCTTATCAATGTAGGCATCTGGTTTTTTGGATCTCCCTTCCTTTTCCAGAGTGAGATGTTATTAGCGTCTGGTTCTTGCTAAGAGGCTGAGGCAGTACGACGGCTGGCAGTGGAGAGTGATGTTGAATGGTATTTGACCTTAACATGGGTCAAAGTTGAAGCATTAGTTTGAAAGGCAAAAACCATCTGCAGTTTGGGATGTTTAAAGGTGCACAATCAGTCTTTTAAACTGTAAGTTTAATTTTTTAATGAAAGCCGCTTGATGGTCCTACATGTCATCTGTTCTCGCTGCCCCTAGTCTCTTACTAAGACTATGTTCCCAGAAATTGTTTTGCATCCAAGAAGTAAGGCCATACAGTGCCCAGTGCTATCGAGAAGGGCAGTACACAAAGGCCTGCATTAAATAATGTTATTCATAATAAAACACAGCATAAACATCTCATTCTTATTTTCATAGACTGATACAGATTTCTGACTGATATAGATTTCTAACAGCCTGAAGCAGCAGAACTGTTAAGCTGTCCTTAGGGTTTTACACTTTTCCCTAAAGTCAGGTAATTGGACAACAGTGATTTAATCTTCTAACTATTAAGATTTAGTGGAGAATTATAAGGGAATCTTTTAATTGCATGGTGAAATTTATTTGGGTGGAAAAAATGAAGTGTGTTAACATTTTTAAAAACTGAAAAAATAAACTTCTTATGTGTTATAATTGTTTAAAGTAATTTCTTTGGAACTTTATTTAACTTGTTTTGTCTCATTGAGAATATTTTCTCAAGGACATAATTAGAAACATGTCAAAAGTGAGTGCCAGCTTCTGATAGGCTTTTTACTTTTGGCTGTGTAGAATGAGGAGATCCTAGCTTGCATTAGAGATGTCCTGAGCAGATGTGACTTGAAAGTTTTTAATTGCTTGAAAGTTTTTAATTATTTAGTGTTCCTTTTGTTGAAAAATTGTGCAGAACGTATGGAGACAGCCAACAAGCAGCTTGCGGAGAAGGAATTTGAGGGGTCTGAAGACAATCGGAAAACCATCTCTCAACTCTTTGCACAAAGTGAGTTACACAATCATTATGGGTCAGTAGAAATGCTCCAGTCATCCTGGCAAGGGTAACAGTGCAGCAGGTTAGCGGAGTTCAGATCTGTTGGTTTTCCACCAGGACAGAAATCAGGGCAGTGACAGTTCCAAAACTGGCAGTGGAGAAAGGAGGAGAGATTCGAGAATCCCTTTTTTGTCAGTATGTAAAGTCCATTTGATGGCATTTATTAGAGATTTTGGAGCAACTGTAGTTTGCGGTTAAACTGTAAAATTAGTGTTTACCCCATAATGTACAGGATAATTTGTCCACCTGTTTTGTCCCCTGAAAGCTTTGGAATTAAACTTTTCCAGGCTGACAGGAGTCCTGGCATGAGTTCAGGCCAGTGGGATGGAACCTGGTAGATCTCCTATCTCTGTCCTCTTTAATTTGCCACTGCCCTATCCAGTTCAGCAAAAATAAAGGGGGTGAGCACTGCCTGCAGTATGCTGGGCTGGGTAAGGGTCATGAATTCTGTCCACAGCAGTGGACTTATCACAAGGCAGACCAAAATGATGGATGTGAAATGCTGCTTTTCCTTTTTACTGAAATGTCTCGAGGCTGATGGCGGCGAGACAACTTTTCTCTCATCCCATAGTGTACTCCATCCTTCTGACAATGCTCACTTTTCTCCAGTTGTTATATAAAAAGGTAATGCAATAAAATTGCAAAATAGAGATTTTTCTGTGGTGTAACACACACTGCTTCTAGTCAGACGAATGCTGGTGTCCCTCTCTTGTGTTGTCTTTAGCTTATTCCTTGTGGCTTACCTTGCAAGCAGATGGCTGTCAGGGTGTGAATTCGAAGCTCCTGTTGGTAGTGGACAGTCTGTGTTCAGTTTCGCATTCAAACTGCTTGGGTGGACTTTGAGGTTCATAGGTTCATCCAGAGAGATGGGAAGGTCAAAGCTGTGAGGCCTTACATTCAATTTATGCTTTTGGATGAACGTGGAAACCATAGTGCTATATTTCATCGGTCCCAGCATTTCTAGGGGTGCTGTACGCACTTGTCAAGTGAAGCAGTACTCGTTTGGGGAAAAGTCTGGAACAAAACCTCCAAAAGCCTCGCTGCAAACGCTTACAGATTACCAAACAGACTGCTGGCACTGATTGATACCTGCTGGCATAATGCCACCCTGTCTCATCTCTGCCCATTTTCTGCAATACCTTTTAGCATGCTGACACTGTCAGCAACTCATTTCCTGGGTGGAGGAGAAATGCTGGGGTGGGAGAGGTGGGGAAAAGAATAGGCAAGTGGTGACATTAGCCTTTGTCCTTGTGTATTATGTCACAGGCTAGCTCTGAGTTGCAGTCAGGGTTTGCTCTGCAGAGTTCTGGGTGCTGTTGGTGGACAGGTTTGTTTTGCAACCTGTGTGTAGGCTGTGTTGATTCCCTAGCAGAAGGGAATCTTTAGCCACTCCGTGTTGCTAAAGCTTTGCTCCTGGCTCCCTGCTGGCAGAAGAAAGGGAATAATTGTGGTCCTGTAAATATAGTTATGCACATGCTTGCACAAACGGGCCTGTGTACTCCGTATGCAGTCTGCCCTAACACCCAGGATCTAGTTCCTGTTTTTCAAGCCTTCCACTCCTTGTCCTCATTCCTTTGTCGTGGGATATTGGTTTCTGGAATGCAGTTTCTCCGGTGTCATCAATGCTGGGTGTAGATCACTCCGGGGAGTATTCTGTGGTTATGTATCCAGCAAGTGTGTTAATGTTATCATTGTAGCTGGTTGGCTTGAGCTGGGAATGACAACATATACAGAGGACATCAGCTCTGTGTTGTGGCTTTGCTTTACACCCCTGTGTGATAATTTCTCCAGTCTCCAGTTATTTTACCCTATTTATTTTGCCCTGTTCCTGAAACACATAGCATAGCTGCTCCCACTAGGTGCAGCTCTTTCTGGAGAGCGGCAGAAAAGGACCAGCTGCTGTGCTTGGGGGGCCTTTAAAGCATCAGACGTGAACTCTCAGTGCTGGGCGAAAGGCTTTCGTGAACCGCAGGTCTGCTTTGCGCAGTGACAGAACAGATACACGTGCCTCAGTTCTGGCCCAGGGGGTCATTTTTAAGGGCAGTAGAGGCAGACTGAGGAGTTCTCATTGCTCACTTGTTTTCTGACTCCTCTGATGGTACTGCTGGCAAAGTGGGACAACCGGGTGTTACTTTGAGCAGGAGGACAGCTGCCCCAGGCAGAACAGCCTTCCTGTTTGTGGGGTCAGTGTGAAAAAAAGGAGCACAAGTTTTTCAGGCACAGAAGTCTGCCATCTCCTCTCCCCAGCCTGGGATATTAAAATTACCCAGTTTGTTTTCCACCGCTGAAAGCTCAGATGTAAAGAGGTGCCAAGTTTCACTAACCATCTGCATAATCAGAGCAAATTACCTAACTGTACTGAGTGATGCACTATCTATTCCTTCTTACTGGCATTGTGGCACATTGTTACTTGAAGGTACCATGCTTGTTTTTCAGGGTTACAAGTCCTCCTCTTCCTTGAAAGTCATGTACTTTCTCCCCCCCACGCCCTCAGCACTAGATTTGCATTCTCTCTGTTGTGAGAAGTTCCAGTACAATCTTCCCTTCACCTCTGGAGTGAAAGACTCCGGAAAGCTGAGTGGAGATGAATGCTGTCCATTGATAACTCTCATTTTGTTTTGATAGACAAGGAAACGCAGCGGGAAAAAGAGAAACTGGAAATAGAACTTGCTGCTGCACGCTCCACCAACGAGGACCAGCGAAGACACATCGAGATCCGAGACCAGGCCTTGAACAATGCTCAGGCCAAGGTGGTGAAACTGGAGGAGGAGGTAAGGATGCTGGGAGAGAGAAATTAGGGTAGCTTGGGTTCCAGTAGAAGTGACTGTGGGAAGGAGTTTGTCCTGTGCAAATTATAAGGAAATCTGCTTGCTTCAAAGCTATTTAGGTCGGCTTAGCTTTGTGTTGATTAGCTAAACCGCTGAACTGCGCACAGATAAGCCACAAATCTGTATTTCCTTGGAAGTGCTTTCGTCTAAGCAGTCATGTTTCGTTTTCTTTTTGTTTCAACTGATAAAAGTGGGCTAGAACTGAAATCCCAGCCCTGGCAACCTCCTGAACTTGGCAGAAATTCAGATCTGGATGGACTTTTAACTAATATCAAATGAATGCAGCTTGTCCCCTTGCCAGGTGTTCCACTTACACCAGGATATCGTGGTGCACAGTGCAGATCACCGTCTGTGCCCAGCATTCGTAATAAGCTGGGCATGACCTTGGTTGTTTTCTCTCCCTTTCCTCCCAAGAGGGGGTAATGCATTTGAGCTGCTTAGCTGGGCAGCTTTCACAGCAGTTTCTGTTGTAGCCTTGTCCCTGCCACTCACACATGGCTCTCACCTCGCTGCCCTTCTGCGTCACAGTGTCTGTCCTCTTTCCTCCGGCCTACTCCTTTCCTCTCAGGCTCCATTTTCCAATCCCAGCCTCTGCTTCCTTTATTCCTACTCTTCCTCCATAGAGAGCCTCTGGAGGAAATCTCGTGACCAAGCACACTTCCTCCACTGCAGATTTGTTCTCTCCTCCTTCAATTCTGCCATCTTCCTGCCTACTAGCACTCACCATCACCCTCGGTTGAATACAGTGCCTGTATCCACCTGCATCTTGCTGTCTTCAGAGACATTCCTCAAACCCTCCCCTTGCCTCCTTCTACTCGTCTCTCTGTTCAGGGTGCCATTGTGCCAAGAGAGGAGGAATGATCAAATACAAAGTGAACATCCTCCTACCTTATCTTGCCTGCCTTCCTCCTCTCCCAGGTACAGATGTAGCCACCTTCTTAATTTTCGCCTGCTCTTCTCTAAACTCTGTATTTGCCTCAGTAGCCCTTCCCCTGGCTCTTCCTTTGTTTCTTTCCCTGGGGTCCTTAATTTTTGCCCCTTGCTGTGCCTTTCTTTTAATTTCTTCAGCTTCATGGGAGCCCTCCCTCAATCTGTCCCCTCCTGGATCTGCTCTGCTCATTCAGGATGTTATTGCAGGGTTACCTGCTGTCACACCTTATTAGCCTTTCTCCACCTTGCTTCCCTTTCTCCACCACATCAAATTCAAGCAGTTCCTTTTTGCTTTCCAGGCCCCTCATGGTTTACACAACCCTGTTTTTCTTCTCCCCTTGTTGCTAAGAGGATGTCTTCTACCTTTGTCCTTCTCAATTTCCACCCACCCCTTTCTCCCCACCCCAAACAAGCACTACTGTGCTTTCTCCCAGGCTGTCCTCACCTTCACTGCAAACACTGGCAAGGCCACTTGGAAGCATCCCTTGCTGTGATGCTCACAACATGGTTGGCAGGGGCTAGGCCACTGGTCATGCTAACCCAGAGACTGTCTACGTGTGTCTTTCTGCCTGTTGTCTCCAGTCCCAGACCCAGGCTGTGAGCTTTGAGGGCAGGGAGCTTTCATTTGTACAGCACTGAGCATCGCCAGGCTGGGGTCCCTCACTGGGGAACCAGGAACAAATTATAATATTAAAAAAAGAAGAACAGAGGAATACTTAAATATCACTGGCCACATTCAGCCTTGCTCAGAGTTGACGAGTCCATTGATTTCACTGAAATTGCAGCATCAACCTGGCACCTTTGTTGCTCAGGGGGACAGGGAGCATTAGCTTATAGGGTAATTTAAACGTGACATGATTCTCTTTGGCTCTAAAACTATTCTGTCATTTGATTCTGCAATGTATTGGAGCTCTTTGGCTTTCATTCAGATTTCAGCACTTTATTACACTAAAAGTCTGATGTGCGACTGACTTTAAGTACACAGGACATCCTTGTGGCTTCCCTGGAACTGCTTACATGCTTGGAGTCACCGTGTCTAGAGGTGCTGCGGTCAGCCAGCACACACAGCACTTGGCTAGGCTGAACCTCTGTGTAGGCACTAATATTGGCTCCCTCACAGTAAAGTTGAAGCCTTTAGATAATAATAATTGTATGTTTTCTTCTCAAAAGATGTCTTGTTTTACTGGAAGAATTGGGTTCAGTGCTGTTGCAAAGTATTTCTGCCTAGGTAGAATAGTAAAATAGTTAAGTAACTCTGAGCTAGATTGCGTGATAGCTTAAAACCCACACATATGCTGATATACAGCGAAATGCCCTGGTCTTGATTGCATGAGGGCTTGTGGTCATTTGCATCCAACCTTTGCTCGAATCCCAGGGTGCACAGGAAGTGCCACCCATCCTGTTGTAGATAAATATGGAAGCGTCTCAGTGAGGGAGCAGGAATTAACTCTGCTTTTTCCTAGAGTTGAGGGGGAATAAGGGGAAACAGAAGGACTAAAGAGTCACTTTTGCAGGTTTCCCAAATCACTTTTTAATGAAATACTTAGGATTATAAAGCATTTGTTGCCTCATTAGTGTTAAATTGTGGGAACTTCTCAAATCCCCAAGCTGTTTGGTAACTTTCCGAAAGACAGCCAAGCAAGCTGTTCAGTGCTCAGGGCACCATTTAGAAGGGACTGTAAATGTCGGCCTGAGTTAATGACATTCAGTGACCAAGATACATGAACAATTTGTCAATTACTTCTTTTATTCCTGCCACTTTAATCTGAGTTACTAGTCCCTGTAATTGTCAGGAATTTCCAAACTAGTCCTGCAGAAGAGGGTGGAGTTTCTTAGCTAAGGTTTGGCAGCCACTCTGGCTCAGGGCCTGAGGGGGGTGTGCATATTTCGGTTGTTGTATCCTGTAATGTAAGTTTTCAGCTTCTTTCCCCCCTGCCCCCTTCCATTTGGACTTCCTATTAAGCAGTTACCCTGCCTTATATTCACCAGATTCTTTCTAAAAAGAATATTTCTGTTCTAATGAGAGCTATGAGCCATATATCACTATAGCTGAATTTAAATGTTGCATTGGAATTGGAACGTCCAGATTCTTTTTAAAATCCTTTGCCTGAATTGCCAGTTTGGGCAAAACCACCCAGCTGTAAAATGTAGATACTTGTCTACTCCTATGGAGCTTTGAGAGCTTTTATATATATTGCATTTTAGCATCCAGGTTAGAGGGAAGGAAGAGATAAAGGGATGCTAAATGTGATGGAGAAAGGAATGATCTTGGAGATACCGAAGTACAGTGTGAAGCAGTTGGAAGCAAAAGGAGGCATTCCCAGAATACTTTCCCTGGTCTGTTAGCAGGGGTGAAATGACTCTTTAAATTTAGAACAAGCTGCCATTAAAGTTTTAGATAGTGTGGAGTTTATTTCTGCAAAGCGCTGAAAAGGGTGAGTGATCATGGGTATTTAAAACAAACTTAAATATGTCTACAAACAGACTTGCTAAGTATATATATGGTTTATATGCAATATTTAAACTTTACTGCTTCTCTACTATACATAAAGATACCCAGTAATTAACCCCTATTTTCACTTGTCCATTTTCATACTTCCCTTTAGATGTTCCACAGTTATGCATAAGTCAGCAGCTTATTAAAACTGTTTCTAGTGAAGTATTAGTCTGGTTTTTCAGATTATTTTCATTACGTGCAATAAATTTGAGATAAATTGAATACATTTGAAATAAAATGCATGTTGCCTTAAAAACATATATCACAGTCAGAAATTGTCAGGGATAATATTTGCAGCTAAAGCAATGAAACATTCTCATTTTGGAGCAGGGATTGCCATGACGGTCTCAATTTTGATGTCAACATTTGAACGGCTGCAGTGTGCAGCAGGTGGGTAGCTGGTAGATGGTCACAGATGGCCTGTGTGTGTGAGCTTTTAAAACAGTCCTGTTACCATGCTTTCACCAACATCTGCTAGCATACACCTTGAGAGCCTTTAGCAAACACAGCAGATGGTTAAACTTTGCTTTACTCTGGGCCAAAGGAAATGTTGCTGGATTTACAGAAAGGACCATCGTGACCAGCCTGCGACTCTGGGTAAACGCTGGCTTATTGTGAGTCCTTACCAGGCTTGTAATATTGCAGGAGGGAGTTTGATGCCAAATACTTTATCTAACCGCAACTGCTGGATGTAGAGGGTACAATTGCTACTGGTTTTACACTTTTTTAAAAAAAAAGCAATTTCCAGAACTTTTATTGAACTTGGTCATTTCTGCTCACCCTGGTTAATTCATACCATGGAAGACCACACTTCAACTTAAAAAGTTGGGTTTTTTTTATAGTAGTGTAACTTGTACTCCTTTGCTCCACCACTTTACAAGCCACTGTTTTAATGAGTGCCTGAAGGAGACAGCTTTGAAAAATAGTGACTACCACCAAGAAGATAGAAATATCTACTCTTTGCCATCCTCATGCACACACCTTGCAGCGGAAAGAGAAGCCAGACATCCTCTCTAATGGGTGCAGATTCGGGGAAGGGAAGATGTTTGAATGAAATATCTTTTCTAGAAGTGCCTTGTATCTAGAAGCTATAAGATCTTTCAGCCACCAGAATTGAACATAAACCAGATATCAGAGCTAAGATGTTATATTCATTTCCCACTCAGCTATTGTGGAGAGAAATAGCACACTACTTCTGATAACACTGAGGGTTCTGTCTGTGGGGAAATGTAAAAACGTTCATTTCCAAATGACATCTATTGTACTTTATATGCTGTGTCTGAGATACTTTCAGAACAGAGCTCTGGCTTGTAGGGAAGAGACCCAAAGGAGAGTTTGTGTGCTTGAAGGCGTCTCTGGTTTTTTCCAGTCACTTCTCTGGGTCTATAAAAAGATATTCCTAGTCTCCACAGCTTTGTCTCACTTAAATGCTTAGATTCTCAGAGCTACATAACTGCTCCTTTCAGGACAGAGATGCTTTTAAAGGGGATGCTTTTTGGATGGCTTCTCGTTCATG